GGTGCTCCTGTATTGGGTCCATATATATTTAGGATCGTTAGCTCTTCTTGTTGTATCGATCCTTTTACCATTATGTAATGTCCTTCTTTGTCTCTTTTGATCTTTTTTGCTTTAAAGTCTATTTTATCAGAGACGAGAATTGCAACTTCTGCTTTTTTTTTTGTTTTGTTTCGCTCTCCATTTGCTTGGTAAATCTTCCTCCATCCCTTTATTTTAGCCTTTGTGTATCCTTGCATGTGAGATGGGTTTCCTGGATACAGCACACTGATGGGTTTTGTTTTTTTATCCAATTTGCCAGTCTGTGTCTTTTGATTGGGGCGTTTAGCCCATTTACATTTAGGGTTAATATTGTTATGTGTGAATTTGATACTGCCATTTTGATGCTAGCTGGCTGTTTTGCCCGTTAGTTGATGCAGATTCTTCATTTTGTTGATGCTCTTTAGCATTTGGTATGTTTTTGGAATGCCTGGTACTAGTTGTTCTTTTCTATGTGTTGTGCCTCTTTCAGGAGCTCTTGTAACGCAGGCCTGGTAGTGACAAAAATCTCTGAGTACTTGCTTGTTTGCAAAGGATTTTATTTTTCCTTCACTTATGAAGCTCAGTTTGGCTGGATATGAAATTCTGGGTTGAAAGTTCTTTTTTTTAAGGATGTTGAATATTGGTCCCCACTCTCTTCTGGCTTGTAGAGTTTCTGCCGAGAGATCTGCTGTGAGTCTGATGGGCTTCCCTTTGTGGGTGACCGGACCTTTCTGTCTGGCTGCCCTTAGCATTTTCTCCTTCATTTCAACCCTGGTGAATCTGACGATTATGTGCCTTGGGGTTGCTCTTCTTGCGGAATATCTTTGTGGTATTCTCTGTATTTCCTGGACTTGAATATTGGCCTGCCTTGCTAGGTTGGGGAAATTTTCCTGGATAATATCCTGAAGAGTATTTTCCAGCTTGGATTCATTCTCTTTGTCACATTTTGGTACGTCACATTCTCTATGTGAAGAGACCTATCAAACATAGGCTAGGTCTCTTCACATAGTCCCACATTTCTTGGAGACTTTGCTCATTCCTTTTTGTGCTTTTTTCTCTGATCTTGGTTTTTCGTTTTATTTCATTGAGTTGATCTTCGACTTCTGATATTCTTTCTTCTGCTTGGTCAATTCGGCTGTTGAAACTTGTGCATGCTTCGTGAAGTTCTCGTGTTATGTTTTTCAGCTCCTTCAATTCACCCATATTCCTAAGTTGTCCATTCTTGTTATCATTTCCTCGAATCTTTTTTCAAATCTTTTTTCAAGGTTCTTAGTTTCTTTGCATTGATTTAAAACATGTTCTTTTAGCTCACGGAAGTTTCTTATTATCCACCTTCTGAAGTCTGATTCCGTCATTTCGTCACACTCATTTTCCGTCCAGCTTTGTTCCCTTGCTGGCGAGGAGTTTTGGTCCTTTGTAGGAGGCGAGGTGTTTTGGTTTCGGGTGTTTTCCTCCTTTTTGCACTGGTTTCTTCCCATCTTTGTGGATTTATCCACCTGTCGTCTGAGTAGTTACTGACTTTTCAATTGGGTCTCTGAGTGGACATCCAGATTGTTGATGATGAAGTATTTCTGTTACTTAGTTTTTCTTCGAACAATCTAGCCCCTCTGCTGTACGACTGCTGAGGTCCACTCCAGGCCCTGCTTGTCTGGGGTACACCTGTAGCAGCTGTGGAACAGTGAGGGATGCTACCAGTTTCTTCTTCTGCTATCTTTGTCCCAGGATGATGCCCACCAAATGTCAGTCTGATCATTCCTTTTTGAGGTGACTCTTTGGATATACAGGGGTCAGAGAGCTGCTTGAGGAGACGGACTCTACTTTATAGGAGCTCAAGTGCTGAGCTGTGAGCTCCGTTGTTCATTCAGGGCTGTTAGGCAGGTGTGTTTAGGTCTGCGGCAGCAGAACTTATAAATTTCCTTTTTATTCCTCAGATGCTCTGTCTCGGGGAGTTAGGGCTTTCATTATGAGTATCCGTTGTACTGTTCTGCCCAGCTAGGGGGCAGTCTAGTCACTATTTGCCTGCCAAGGCTCCACCCTGCTACCGTGGGGTCCGCCCTGTTACCATGGGCTCTGCCCTGCTGCTGTGGGCTCCGCCCTGTTGGCGGAGTCTCTCTGTTATGGCAGGTTGCCTCGGCAATGACAGGCTGCATCAGCAATGGGAGTGTACCTCAGCTGGGGCGGAATGCCTCAGTAATGGTGGACGCCCCTCCACCACCGAGCTGCACCATCCTGGATTCAGCTGTGCCTGCAGTGAAACTCTCAACCCCGAGCGTTTAAAATCGCCGTTTTGTTTGTCCCTGTGGGGGTGGGACCCGCTGAGCCTGATCACCTGGCTTCCTGCCTCAGAGCCCTTTTTCTTTTTTTTTTTTAAGTTGAATGGTTGACTCTCTCCCAGGTGTTCCAGTTGCCTGCTGTTAGGGCACCGGGATCTGTGTGATTTCCCGTGCAGCAACCCACTGCGCCGGCTCAATTGTCGCTTCTTGGGAATCTCCTGGTCTGGCTCACTGTCCAAGTCCCGTTTAATCAGATGGATATGCTAATCTACCCTCCCAAATCTCAGATTGCCGGTTTAACAGGCACCCAGACCAGTGCGCTTTGTATGGAGTGCCGCTGTGTTGCGGCGCTGGCCGAAACAGCCGCACCAGCTGAAAGGGCTGTGCTGGCATCCCGTGTCTCTCCTGCACCTGGGAATTTCCCCGTTCTGTGAGCAACAAAGATCCATCTGGAAATGCGGCTTGGACTCACCCTCTGTGCCTTCACTGAGAGCTGCAATCCTGAGTTGCTTCTACCGTGTTATCTTCTCTGCTTCTGTTTTATACACGGGGAGACCAAGGTATGGAGGAGTTAGGTGAAGAACCAGGGTTGCAAGTGAATGGTGTGCAGAGCTGGATTTAGGCTGCACTCTCAGCTCCTGGCTCCGACCCCTTGGATACACTGCCTGTGTCTTTGCAGTATGGTGTGTATGGGAGGGTGCTATGCAGGAGCTCCAACCCCATCTGAGCCAGGGCAGGTCTCCCTCTGCTGGGTCTCAGTCCCTCCTACAGAGGAGGAGTCCCTCCTACATGGAGGAGCTCACCTCCATGACGCTCTGCTTGGCCTCTGCCTCTAGGTGCCTGGGAGTGGGTGCTGGAATGGATTCCAGGACCTGTTCACCTGCACTTCCCCTGGGTGTTGAAGCTGGTGCCTTAATCCTGATCTAAGCCAGTCTATACTGTGTCTTCCAGAATTCCTCAGAGGCTGGTCAATTCAAGATATCATTTCCTGTTTTCTATCACAAATTGAGTATTTTTTCCTAAATTTAATTTTTCTGTCATTTCATTGAGATTCGGGGAGCCACAGGTGGTAGGTGGAGGGGCTCAGATGACTGTCTTGACCCTCTGCGCGCTCACCATCCTGAACCACAGAATGGGAGGAGTCACGAGGCTCTTTCTACATCTTGTCATTCTGGTGTTTGTCCCTTTATTTGTTGTGGTTTGGGGATTTGTTTATTTTTTTGAGATGGAGACTTGCTCTGATGCCCATACTGGAGTGCAGCGGTGTGATCTCGGCTCACTGCAACCTCCACCTCCCAGGTTCAAGCGATTCTCCTGCCTCAGCCTCCCAAGTAGCTAGGATTACAGGCAGCTGCCATCATGCGCAGGTAATTTTTGTATTTTTGCTATAGACAGGGTTTCACCATGTTGGCCAGGCTGGTCTTGAACTCCTCACCTCAAGCGATCTACACACCCCGGTCTCCCAAAACGCTGGGATTACAGGCATGAGCCCCTTTTCTTTGGACTGCTCGAGATTCTGGCTCATGTCAGCTCCATGCCTAGGACAGCTGTCACTGGGTGTTTTGTGCTAATGTGGTCCTGGGTGGGGAAAGTGAGGGAAGGCCAGGGGTGTGAGGAGGTGAGGCAGGGCATACTGTAGGCACTTTAGAAGGAAATGGAGAGTGTCTGCATGAGGGCTCATAACCAGATGCTGTTTCTTAAACCTGCATCCTTTCTTAAGGTCTTATACTTGCTTTTTAAATAACTCAGCATGGACTTGTGACTACACAGTGGTAAGTTACACTCGTCAGCTTACCGTCATCCTGACTTTAGTATGTCTCCACTGTGCAGGAGGCTGCACTGAGGCCTTCACTCACAGTGACCTTCTGCCCTCACCAAGAGCCTTTTGAGGAGGGAGCACGTCTTTGTTTTAGCCCGGAGGGGCTCAGCGGCTACCAGGCCGCTCTGCCTCCCAGCCCTCACCACGGCCCAGCCCAGCCCTCAGAGGGATGCACCCAGGATGAGGGGCTGTCCCTGGCAGGGCCCCGAGAGGCCATTCACAGTGTACTGAGTCATCTACAGCTAGTTCTAGGTCTTGAAGTACAGTTTTTAACTGGTGGCCGGAAGGATTTATTTATTAGACTTAAAAAATGTAGAGTGAGTTCTTTCTCTTTCAGACCAACTCAGACATCCAGGCATTCTTCATGAGCATAGACAGTCTATGCAGGAAGTACTCCAGGGAGACCTGGAAGGTGAGTGTGGGAGGTGCGGCTTGGTTCTGTGCTGAGCCAGGTGCACTGCCCCAAGACCATGGGTTTTACATGTTCTGGAGGCAAGTTCCTTTGAAGATATTTCATCAGCAATAGTTTCTGCAGAAATCCTTGTGTGTTGCGTGTTTGCTTTCCTGACGGTGCTACATTTACATACGAAAGGTTCTGGTTTTGACACAGTTCACTTGATCTATTTTACTGTCATTTGCACTTTTGGTGTCCATTAAGACAAAGTGGTCTCCGTCAGCTCTGGGGTCCTTTGGGCAAGACACCCCCTCCCCATATTCACACCTTAGAATCTCAGGCTTGGGAGTCCTCCTCGCAGGTCAGGGCTCTCTGGGTTCAGGGAAGCAGGTTTCTTCTTGACGCTGTGTTTTCCTGACAGTTGCCCGGGCATTCTGCTGGCCAGGCCTGTGATTCCCACTGAGCCCCATGTGGCAATGTTGGCTCTGTGGTCCCCATGCTGGCAGCATTGCCAGCTGCTGTGCCGATCCTCACGGCTGTGGCTTGTCCGTCCCCTACCTGTTTCTTCCTGACCCTCTTCCCAGTCAGCACGCACCTGCAGGCCAAGCCTCCCCACCGCCAGCTACTGTCGCAGGTCATTGTCCTCTGTGCCCACCCACATGCTGAGCGGCACTTCAGGCCTCCTTGGTTGTCACTGGACAGCTGCAGTCCACCAGTCTGGGGGAAAGCTGCCAGGAAAAGAAGGGGTCTTTCCCCTGGCCCCCACCCTGTGCTTCCTTTCCTTCTTCTGTGAAGGGTACAGATCCCACCGTTGGCCACCTCCCACCTGCCTTGTGGGGAAAGAGGCCTAGTCAGGGCAGCCAGGAGCTGAGGCAGGAGGCTGAGGAAGGACCCCAGCATGTCACTCTCCTTCCCAGGCTTGTGCCTTTGGGCTGTGGTCAGCCAGGTCACCAGGACTATCCTCTCTCTCCTCTGGGAGGCTATCCTCCTGCAGCAAGGCTCCTTGGTTACGAAACAGCCTGAATCACCCACAGTATCTCAGGCTGTCCTGGGGCTGTTGTGAAACAGCCTGAATCACCCACAGTATCTCAGACTGTCCTGGGGCTGTTCTGAAACAGCCTGAATCACCCACAGTATCTCAGACTGTCCTGGGGCTGTTCCCATCTCAAGTTATGCCCAGCCATATCCTCCAGGGAGGTTCTCAGAGGCTCAACACATGGAAGCCAAGCAGCAGCTGGAGACCAGAGAACACTGGGCCAGCACAACAAGGCACCCAGACTAGGACGCTGGGATCCAGAGCCCAGCCAGATTCCCACGGAAACACCATCCAGAACGCACCTCACCTGCCCACCTTGCTCCGTCCCAGCAGGACCCTCATTCAAGACAAGTCACCTTGGGGCCAGGAGTCACTGAGTTCATAAAACACATACGTTATCACAGACATCAGAGCCACAGGCTCATGCTCCAGTGTAGTTTTGCCAAGTGCAGCGGCCTTCCCGGAGCAGCCTCCGCAGAGGCCAGGTACTGTCTCAGGAGAGAAGACCTAGCGGACATGGCCAGCCCCTCCAGCCACCATGTCTGCTCTGCCTCTCAGCCTTTAGGCCTGGACGGTGGAGATGGCTAGCTGCAACCTGGGCGGCCGTCTGCCCCACGACCTCACAGCCCCACTGTTTGTCAGTCACACTGCAAAGCTGGGCGCCACAAGCACAAGGCAGAATTTTCCAGCAGCTACGTGACGTGATACTCTAATATTTATGCTCTTGTATCAACATAACATAAATACTGTAATATTTGTTACATGTTAACACATAATAGATTTATTGTTATTTTTAAATGAATAAATACATTTAAATCTGTCTCACTCTCAATTTCTAGTAGGGTAAAAATCGACAGATGAGACCCACATAAGCAAAGCTCTCTGGGGTCCTCAGTGATTTTTAAAAGTGCAAAACTGGCCCAAGACCGAAACTCTGAGCCCCAAGGCCCAGGCCCTGGAACCCGCCCTGAGGTGTCAACAAAGCACCTCAGCGCCTGCCTGCCGCAGTCACCCCTCCTAGTCTAGTTGGTAACCCCTCTGAGATCCGTGCTGTCCACCCAGCCTCTGCCCTACCACAGGCTTTGTCAGCACTGAGCCTGCAGCCCCTGGTCCTGGCGTGCTCAGGAGCTCATGTTGACGAATGCAGGCACAGGCCACTCATGGACAAGAACTGGTAGCGAACCGAAGCGTGAGAAGTGTGCTCTGGACCAGGCAGCTGCCTCTCCTGGCCTCGTGGCACAAATGCCTCACGAGAGTCCGCATGAGTGACCTGTGCTCTCACCCACTGCCTTCACTCTCAGGCCTTCGCTGCCCCCGGTTGACGGGATGTGGGCAAAACACACGTGGTCACGGGATAGCTCTTCCCTGGGGCCCTGGGGCCCTGGGCCAACCTGGCCCAGCACAGCCTCCATGACCATCCCATCCCTGGAGTTTTGCAGTAATTTCATTGACCTGTTTCTCTGGCTCAGTTCAAGAGGCATATTCTCTGCAAGATAAATGCTCATTGTTCTTTTTAAACTGTTCTATTATTTTAAAATTTACCCTCTTCTGAGGCCACACACAGTGTCTCAAGTCTCTGGGGCCCAACATTGGTCAGAGTATAGACACCCCAGGGGCAGCATGAGGCTGCAGACCTGTGTGGCTCCCCTAGCAGACCCCACAACACATGGACATCAGCTTCCCCCCAAGCTCATGAGAGTCTCCCCAGCTCCGCACTCAGTAGAACTCATCCCATCTGCTGCTCGGGTGCCCTTAGAGCCCTTCCCTGCAGCCCAGTCCTTGCTGCAGCCATGCCTGCCATGCCAAATCAGGGCCAGCCAAACTGACTGTCGTCTCACCAAGGCCTTTCTCTAAGAACAGACTGGGCACCCCCTGCAGTCTGGATCAGGCGCATCTGCCTGCAGGTCCCTCCGCGAGCATGTGAAGCTGAGGAGCAGAGGCCCTCGCCTGCAGGGTGGAATGTTCCCACTGAGGGTGCTTGGGAGAAGCTTCACAACAGGCACAATTGAGTGGAGCCTTGAGGGGCACGCGCAGGTGCCTCCGACAGGCCGCAGGACTTGAGAAGCATCGGCACTGGTGGAAAGCTGCCCCGGCTGTGGCCGGTGATGTTCATGAGAACTGCGGTCAGGGCAGCCGGAAGAGTCTTTTGTCCACTCCTCTTCATAGCCCATGGGGCAGCACCTGGGACTGGCTTCCCTCCTTGGTGGGGAGAGAGTCCCCTGTTGAGTAGGGGAGATTTCAAGAGCTCCGAGTCACTCCGAGGATGCAGCAGCCAGGAGACCATGAGGCTGTTGTCCCTGCTGTCCTGGAGAGGGGCTCCTGTGCCGCCCTGTCCTCTGGAGCCCTCCCATGGAGGAGGATGGGAACAAAGGCCCGCCTTTCCACAGAAGGGAAGAAGCCTGCCCTGTGTTTGCACTGGGCATGAGCAGTGGGCAGACGCAGGCCCCTCCCTCCTGCTTGTCATCACCGCAGGCAGACGGTGGGGTGCAGTGAAGTAGGGAAGGCACCGCTGTCTGAACACTTGACTCTTAGGAAATAGCTCGCTCTTCCTCTGAGTAAATCACAGGCCTCTCTTTCCTCCTTATGTTGGTACTCTCAGAAACTCAGTTCAAGCTGTCTAGACAGCAGCCATGGAATCTGGGGCTCCTGTAACTGGAAAGACCAGGGAGGGTGCCGGTGTCAGGCATGGCTGGCTCTGGGAGTGCAGACAGGCCCACTAGACATCTGCCAGCTCTGCGGGTCTCGCTTGGCCTCATTCTTGGCTGGCTCTCTTTCCACCCGCTCCTGACATTGGTCCATCACTGTTTGGTCAGGAGGCCATTCCTTAAACCAGCTGCCATTATCAGAGGGACAGCACCCTGTGGTTGGCCCGGCAGGAGCACCACTCACAACTCAAACAGAGCAGGTTGCTGGAGGGACTTTCCCATGGTGCCCGTTAAGCCTCACCTGTGTTTGCACTTGGCCCTGCCTGCTGGTGCTCACGCTTTTTCTGCCCACATGTGTGGGGCATCTGCCTGCGGCAGGACACACACAAAACAAGCACTGTGAGCTGTCTTGACATTCCCTCCAGCCTCCTCATCCCCCAACAAAATTTCAGCCACAGAAACCATGCACCTGTCAGCAGCTGAAATGTATGATCTTTTCAGATTTCAGAATTTCAAGAAAATCACCGGAAGAGATTGTTAGCCTTCTATAGAGAAAAGGTAAGTCAAGTTGATTCATTGCCACTTGAATTTTTGACCTTTAGATTTAAATGTCAGGCCTGTTAATTAACACCTTGTTCTCAAAGGGGACAGGCTGCTAGACGCAGCATCTGTTTCTCTGTGTTTGCAGCTGTGCTGATGTTGTCTCAGTCCCCTTCTGACCATCAGCCTGTTTGCCCAACCCTTGTCTGTAGTTCACCAAGTGGCCCCTTGGGCGCAGCACCCATGGGCCTCCCCGCTCGGCCACCCTTTCCCCCTCAGCCACTGGGGGCGCTGTTGGGGCCTTTGGAGCTTGGGAGGCAGCTTAAAGGCTTCTCTGCCCAACCATCTCATTTTTAAAAATTAAGTCCTTTTTAAAAAACTTTGAAGGTTATGTAGTAGGTAAAGTAAGGAACCCAGCTTTAAAGACAAGGGACCCTGGGGTGGCTTCCCCGAGTCTGGAAGCTAGCTTGTGACCCTGATGCCTCCTGTCTGTGGGTGAACATTCTATGTATACCCAGACCTGGAGGGGACAGGTCATACCTGCCTGGCTTGCCAACTGGTGACTCCCTTCCATCTTGTCACCCCAACCCTGTCTTGTCACCTTGCGCTGTCCTGTCACCCCCATCTCACCCCTCACCCCATCCTGCCACCTCATCCTGTTACCCGCTCCCTGTCCTGTCACCCAACCCAATTCTGTCACCACTCACCCCATCTTGCTATCCCCACCCTGTCCTGTCACCACATCCCGTCCTGTCACCCCTCACCTCATCCTGTCACCCCCACCCTGTCCTGTCACCCTGTATCAGTCTGTTTCCACACTGCTATAAAGAACTACCTGAGATTTGGTAATTTATAAAGGAGAGAGGTTGAATTGACTCACAGTTCCACATGGCTGGGGAGGCCTGAGGAAACTTACAATCATGGCAGAAGGCAAAGGGGAAGCAAGGGACGTCTTACATAGCAGCTAGAGAGAGGGCAGGGGGAGCTGCCAAGCACTTTTAAACCATCAGATCTCGTGAGAACTCACTGTCACAAGAACAGCATGGGGGAAACTGCCCCCATGATCAATCACTTCCCACCAGGTCCCTCCCTTGACACATGGGGATTGCAATTCAAAATAAAATTTGGGTGGGGACACAGAACCAAACCACATCATTCCACCCCTGGCTCCTCCCAAATCTCATGTCCTTCCCACATTTCAAAACACAATCATATCTTCCCAGCAGTCCCTCAAAGTTTTAACTCATTTCAGCATAAACTCAGAAGTCCAAGTCCAAAATCCAATCTGAGTCAAGGCAAGTTCCTTCCACCTCTGAGCCTGTAGAATAAAAAACAAGTTAGTTACTTCCAAGATACTATGGGGTACAGGCATTGGGTAAATGTTCCAATTCCAAATGCAAGAATTTGACCAAAACAAAGGGGTTACAGGCCTCATACAAGTCCGAAACCCAGCAGGGCAGCCATTAAATCTTAAATTTCCAAAATAATCTCCTTTTACCCAATGTCTCACATCCAGGACATCCTGATGCAAGTGGTGGGGGCTCCCAAGGCCTTGGGCAACTCCACTCTGTGGCTTTGTATGGTACAGCCCCAGTGGCTGCTTTCTGGGCTGTGGTTGAGTGCCTGCAGCTTTTCTAGGCACACAGTGCAACCTGACAGTAGATTTACCATTCTGGGGTTTGGAGGACAGTGGCACTCTTCTCACAGCTTCACTAGGTAGTGCTGCACTGGGGACTCTGTGTGGGAGCAACCACCCCACATTTCCCTTCTGCACTGCCCTAGCAGAGGTTCTCCATGAGGGCTCTGCCTCTGCAGCAGACTTCTGCCTGGACATCCAGGCATTTCCATACATCCTCTGAAATCTAGGTGGAGGTTCCCAAACCTCAACTCTTGTCTTCTGCACACATGCACACCCAACAGCACATGAAAGCTGCCAATGCTTGGGGCTTCCACTTTCTGAAGCAGCAGCTCAGTTGTACCTTGGACCCTTTTAGTTATGGCTGGAGCTGGAGCAGTTGGGATGCAGGGCACCATGCCCTGAGGCTGCACAAGAGTTGGGCAGTGGGCCTTGGCCTGGCCCATAAAACTACTTTTTTTCTCTCTGGGCCTATGATGGGGAGTGGGGGGCTGCTGTGAAGGTCTCTCACATGCCCTGGAGACATTTTCCCCACTGCCTTGGTGATTAACATTTGGCTCCTCGTTACTTATGCACATTTCTTCGGTTGGCTTGACTTTCTCCCCAGAAAATGGGGTTTCCTTGCTACTGCATGGTCATGCTGCACTTTTTCCAGACTTTGATGTTCTGCTTCCCTTTTAAACATAAGTTCCAATCTCAGATCATCTCTTTGTGAATGTGTATGACTATATGCTTTCAGAAAAAGCCGGGTCCCCTCTTGAATGCTTTGCTCCTTAGAAATTTCTTCTGCCAGATACCCTAAATCACCTCTCAAGTCACAGATCTCAAAGGTAAGGGCAAAATGCCTCCAGTCTCTTTGCTAAAGCATAGCAAGCATGAGCTTTGCTGCAGTTCCCAATAAACTCATCTCCATCTGAGGCCTCCTCAGCCTGCACTTCGCCATCCATGTCACTGTCAGCATTTTGCTCAAACCCATTCAACAAGTCTCTAGGAAGTTCCAAACTTTCTCACACATTCTGTCTTCTTCTGGGTCCTCCAAACTGTTCCAACTTCTGCCCATTACCAGTTCCAAAGTTGCTTCCACATGTTTAGGTATCTTTATAGCAGTGCCCAACTCTGCCGTCACCCATTCTCTGTATTAGTCCATTTTCACACTCTTACAAAGCACTACCTGAGACTGGATGATTTATAAAGGAAAGAGGTTTAATCGACTCAGTTCCACATGGCTGCAAGGCTTCAGGAAACTTATCAATCATGGCAGAAGGCAAAGGGAGAGCAGTGCACGACTCATACAGCAGCAGGAGAGGGGGTGGAAGGGAACTGCCGAACACTTTTAAACCATCAGATCTTGTGAGAACTCACTGTCATGAGAACAGCCTGGGGAACCACCCCCATGATCCAGTCACCTCCCCCAGATTCTTCCCTTGAAACATGGGGTTACAATTTGAGATGAGTTTTGGGTAGGGACATGGCCAAACCATATCGTACCCCACTGCATCCTGTCACCCTCGGCACATTCTGTTGCCCCTTACCCCATCCTATCACCCCCTCCCCTGTCCTCACACCCACCCTGTCCTGTTGGCCTCTCCCCAGTCCTGTCACTCCCCTTTCCCTGTTACTCTCACCTCATCCTTTCCCCCCTACCCCATCCTCACCCCCACCCCATCCTCTCACACCCACCCAGTTCTCATACCCACTCCATCCTCTCATACCCACCCCATCCTCGCCTCCACCACATCCTCACCCCTACCCCATCCCCTCACATCCACCCCATCCTCACCCCTTCCCCATCCTCTCACCCCCTCCCTATCCTCTTACCCCACCCCATCCTCTCACCCCATCCCATCCTCACCACCACCCATCCTCACCCCCTCCCCATCCTCTCACCCCTACTCCATCCTCTCACACCCACCCCATCTTCTCACATCCACCCCATCCTCACCCCCTCCCCATCCTCTCACCCCCACCCCATCCTCTCACCCCCTCCCTATCCTCTCACCCCCCCATCCTCACCGCTACCACATCCTCACCCCCTCCCCATCCTCTCACACCCACCCCATCTTCTTATACCCACTCCATCCTCTCACCTCATCCCATCCTCTCACACCTACCCCATCTTCTGTCCCCAACCATATCCTCTCTCCCCCACCACATCCTGTCACCCTTACCCCATCCTGTCATCTCCACCCCATCCTCTCACACCCACCCTCACTTCATCATCTTCACACTCACCCCATCTCCTCATACCCCCCTCCTCCCTCCTTCACCTCATCCTTTCACCCCCACCTCATCCTCTCTCCCCAGCCCCATCCTCTCATCCCCACCCATCCTCTCACACCCATCCATCCTCTCATAGCCACCGCTGTCCTGCCACCACCATGCCATTCTCTCTCCTCCACCCCTCCAGGCCACCACAGCCCCATCGTACTCCTTGACAGCCACCCAATATCCTGCCTGGAGACTTCTTGCAGGGGCCAGCCTGGGCTATTTTGTCACATTTTGTGTATGTTACCTCCTAATCCTCCCAGCAAACCTCGAGGATGGTCATGAGCCATAGTTGCAGACAGGACAGTGGGATCCCCGAATCTAGTCACTCCCTTGGGGTCTGGCAGCTGCCACACACAGGGCCAGGTTCCAGCCTGACAGTGGACACTGGCAGTGATGGAGTGTGGAAGGTACTTGTGTCTGACTTTGAGGCTGGGTGCTCCCCTGGCAGGGCTGACCACTGAATTCGCATCATGCCAGCTTGTCGAGGGTGCTGCACTGAAACTCATCTCCTGGGGCTTGGCCTTGACTTAGCTCTGCATGGCCCCCAAGGCCAATTTCCTAAGTACCTGATGGACTGGACTCACGGAGGTTTACTCATAAACAGCATGAGGGTGACTCCATGCAGAGTAGCCTACATTCAGATTCACGGTTTAAGAGATGTAGAGGGTCACTGTCACTCAGCATAGCCCGTCTGCTAACAAGAGGGTGTGTAATTCTGTTTAGATTTCTAGGTTGGAAGAATCCCTTAGGAAGTCAGTGCTGCAGATAGAACAGCTACAAAGGTAAGGCCCCCGCCTCCCCCGGGTGAGTGCAGATGAGGCAGCCACTGCCATGTGCATTGCTTGTCTGGCTGTCCAAGATCAGGAAGGAAAGATGACAGCAGATGCAGAGGGAAGGGCTCGTTCACTTACTGGAAACTTGTGTCAGAGCAAAAATGCTGTCGGAAAACTGCAGGAAAGAAGGGAGACAAAAAAGAAAAAGTGAAAAAGACATGAGTGGTTCCCCCCGGGGCAGGCGCCCCAGTGATGCCTGAGGC